CAAGGAGTTACAAATGGAGGTTATTGAGTTGTCTGAAGATAATATCCTGGAAACTGTTTGACAGCAAGAAAGATCCCATTGAAATTTTGAAAAGACCGATAGAATATATTCGCCTTCATGAACATTCATGCAGACTTATTTCATGTTTTCTTTCAACATAGAGTTGTGAATCCACATTCTTGTACTTGACACAAATCAAGAATTCCTTGAGAACACAGTTGACAGATGAGTATTTGGAAGACTAATTAAAACTAAAAACCACTATGTTAGAACCTGATATCAAAATGCCATCTCAAAGGAATCAATGTCAAGGAAGTCATTAATTTGTCTAAAAGGTGAATAAAGTATTTGTTTGAATAGGTCTTGTTTTTCAGTTTTATAATGTCTGTTTTTATTAGATTATATAATTATTAAATTCTATTTTATGCATTATTTACCTAAGATATAAAATGTGTAATTATGAAAAATCACTTGGTGAATGTGGCCTCTATAAGGGACAATGAATTTCAATGTAGCCTTCATATACAAAAAGGTTCCCTACTTCTGGACTAGTGCTTTACAAATTTATGGGAATATCAAAATAAAAATAATCAAATAAAAATATTTGAAAAAATTGATAAGGAATGAATAAATAATAAACATAAATAAAGAAAATTAAAAACAAGTTTTTCTAATTATGAGTGACATATTCATGTGATTCCTTTTTGATTCATTAAAATTTTTCTACTTAAAATAAACTCATTTCTTTTATTTTTCTGGTATTTACTACTGTAATACATGAATTTAATAAATAGATGCTTGCAATATTAATAGATTATTAAAAAAATTTAACTCTGAATATACATAACATTCATCAGCCAAATATATGTCAACCTCTTTACTAAGTACATTGAGCTCTAATTCTATTCCTATATATTTCATGATTGACAGTCATTCTGTTGAGAATGCATACTGTGATTTCATAAAACTGGCTTAAACTGCCTCCTATTTATTTGATGTGCCACACTTTTTTTGTGAAAGGGAGAATACTCTGACAAACAGTGAATATGTTCTCAATAAAATGTGTCCTCAAAAATTTATTCAGAATTGCCAATTTTATGTGTTAGTATGTGTAATGAAAATGCATCAGTTACAAAACAAGTCACTAATAAGAAAAATGTAATTGAGAAAAAGGAAGAGATTGAAAATTTAGACTGCATCAACATCATCAGAAAGGGGTAAGTAAGAACCATATATGTTTGTATATACATATACTGATAAGCTGTACTGAAATGTTCCTGGCCCAACCTACTTTCTAAAATCCAGTGATTTAGTCAGATTTTAGGAAGTGCATTAGGTTGAGTACATTTCGTGTGTGTGTGTGTGTGTGTGTGTGTGTGCGTGCGTGTGCGCGCACACACACACACAATACAAAACAATGCACCAAGATTGACAATGAATTATTGACAGCAATCAGGGAACTATGTCCCAAAGAAACTCACCAATTTCTATCTGAATTATGGGAATTAAAATGAGGAAAAATCCTAGAATATTTTGGAAAGAAAAATAACCTGGCTAAAAATGTTAACAGGTAAGGAAAAATTGGATAATGAGATAAAACAAAAAAATGCAAACCAAACTCACAATAAAACACAATACTCAACACACAACAACTACATGCGATACCACCAAATACAAAGAAAACCACACAACAGAAGTAAGAACCCTACATACATACTACCACACACAAACACACCCACACAACAAATACAATTACCAAAATACACTTAACACACAGACAAACCTTTAAAACATACCATTATACCATAACACAGCCAAACATAAGACAAAACACACACACGTTAACAAAACCAACATTTACAGATACCACCTAACACAACGAAACAAACCTAACAACCATTAACAATATCAAGAAATGCAATCAAAATTCCCCACAAATCTCTACTTAACCCCATACAGAAACAAATCTAGAAACATCTGGAACATCCCTTATAACAAAAACAAACACACTTATATAGAAAGATCTAAAAATAACAACCCCAATTTTATCAAGAGAAATTCTCATTGCCTAAAATCCCCACAACATACAGAGAAAGGTTATCTCTTAGAAAACCCGGAATGTGTGGAAAGAAACAATCATCATTTTTAAGAAACCCCAGTCTGAACAAGAAGATCAGTTTAGATAACATAAAACCAAAAATAATAAACTTATCTACATATGCACTTACAAAGGATAAAACTAACTTATTAAAATTAAGCCTAAAATTTTGCCCTACCTCAAAAAGCAATATAACAGACCTAAAAAAAGAGCTTAGAGAGTTTGAATGCAAACTCAGACTAATAGAAGCATTTAATAATAGCAAAAACATTACATTAGTAAAAATAAATCCAAATTCTTTCCCCAAAAAAACAATAATACAAATGGACTAAACATATTTTTTAAAAACTCTGGAACCTCAACCTACAACAAAAATTCAAATCATTCAATAACCTCACATAAAGATAAAGGTGTGCCTTAGAGAACATCCAGAAAAATAACAATACAATTATAAAAGAAGCAGACAAAAGCAACACTATGGTCATCATGAACAAAATATACTATAAAACAAAAATTCTAAAGGCACTAGGGGATAAGAACAACTATAAATTAACGAACACCAACATAAACAAAAATATTATATCAAAAATATCAAAACTCTGCACAACACATAATAAGATATTAAAAAAAAGAAAAGGGCTTCCTAATAAACTTCATCACAAAAATGAGCAATTTTTATGGATTACTGAAAATTCACAAATCAAATGAAATAAAAGCAGCTATCCAGAGACAAATATCTGAATGTATTAACATCCCAAATCCCAGTGACCTTATGTTCAGACCTATAGTAGCAGGACCAGCCTGTCCAACTAGCAGACTCAGTAATCTAATAGACCCCGTACTATGACCATTTACTAAACAGATTAAGAGCTACATCATAGACTATATCCACTTCCTTAGCTCCATACCACAAAAAGTAGGTCTGGGAACACTCATGGTAACCTATATAGCAACATACCCCATGGTAAACAGGCACTCTCATTCTGGATTGAAAAACACCCAGAAATACTACATCCCAGGTTCACCAAGGAATTCATTATCAATAGTATAGACCTAATCCTGAAAAACAACACTTTTGAATTTGACAACAAAATCTATATCCAAACCCTATTTACCACAATGGGAATGAAAATGTCACCAACGTATGCCACCCTAATCTTAGCTTACCTAGAAGAAAACTATGAAAAGATAGAGCAAATATATGGGGGAATTATAAAACCTACTTCACTAAATCTTGAAAGCAATACTTAGATGATTGCTTCATTTTCTGGAAATTCTCATGAGGTGATATTAACCACTTACAAAGTCTACTCCAAAACTTACACCTGAAGATCAAATTCACCCAAGAACATAATTTTAATAAACTGCCATTCTTAAATATATTCATCAGAAATAGAAATAACCACATTGTCACAGATATTTACCACAAACCTACAGAAACCCAGCAATATCTTCATTTCAAGATCCATTACCCAAAAAAGTAGCAGTTTTGAAAATTAGGAGGGGCTAACCCGACAACATCTATGTATATTTACTTCTATCCATACTCTTTCTCATTCTATCTTTCGAATGCACCAGCACTTGTATGCTTGAACTTCAACTTTCACCTTATACTTCTGCATTATTATATTGTGTATATAAAAATTTCATTTTATATTTATCAACACTCTGATTTTCTTTTAATCATTACAAAAGGACAATATACATCCAATCAATTATACTAATATATGGAGGGAACGACGTTGTTATAAGATAAACAACTCATTCATAACTGATAACCTACTATCCTCTAAAATACGCACACACACATGTATACACACATATATATATATATATATATATATGTATATGAGTGTGTGTGTGTATACATTAGCAGTTATGAGCTGAATTTTGATCTGAAATTTCCACTGTGTAATGGTTTGATTGACATGATTCATATTTACTATTGAATTAATTACATTAACAAAAAAGAAGTCCATGTTGAAAAATTAATTTTTGTGGAAAATAGTATTTTTTTCTTGATTAAACTACTGACTTATTAGTTTAGCTACACACAAATTATTTTAATCTCACTAAGTCAATTTGGGCATTTAATTAATAATTTTCAGTTAATTATCATTGATGAGATTCATAGAATTTTTCTCAAAACTTAATAAAGAACATCTATTTGAAACTTGTATCTTACCCCAAGTTCAAGCAAAAGTTCCATGATCACTTTGATAAAATGGTTAACAAATATTAACTATTAGACACATTGCACAATCTTTCCAATGTACATGAGTAGAAATATTTTTAATTGAGTAGATTTATAAATTATCATTCTTAAATTATTTTTCTTTAAATCAATATCTGACACAATAAACCATATTGAGCATTAATAAAGAAATTATTAGCAAACTAGTTCTGGTTTATTTATATATGTTGATTTTCATGGGTTACCACCATACTTTGTTGGTTTGTGCCAAACTGTTGACAAATCATTGTTAATAAAATAAAGCATTTATAAAAAATTCGTCTGTTTTAACATTTGAATACATTTATTTAACATTTTTGACTTTTTTTATTTTTAAGAAAACAAAAGGTTTTCTTGATTGTTTTTAGTTTTACTTTAAAATAAATATTCCAGTTTAAAATGATGGGTTATAAATTTAATAAGCTCAAGTTTAAAACTTAGGAGTTATTAGTTTAATAATTACATTCATATGATATGAAATAAGACATATGGCAATTTACTTCCATCTCTACCAGATTATACAAAAAACGTGCATTAAAAAATGAGAATTTAATTGAAAACCTAAACTTGAATTTCTTATGCGTACTATGAGCGAATCAATCAACTATGGTCAGTGTAGTAGAACTCTTCAGTGCAATAAGGGAGAGAAATCAGAAATAGAAACCCAACATGGAAGTGTCTACTAATGTTTTGCAGGGTATCACTGCTGCGAATAACAATGAAAACGTTCCCGACGATTGTTTTCCTGCACTCGTCACGTCTGCGTGTCAAGGAATATTGAATCAGTCACCACACATAGGTATTTATTACAGCTTGTGGAGTTCGATATTTTCTTGTCAATGATTAGAAAGACAGCAGTAGTTACTGTGTAAATTGTCTGATAGAGCATGTGAGTGTACTGTACAATAACAAATGAAAAAAATTATGAATATGTACAAAAACATTTTATATGTAAAAATGACATTTCGGTGTAGCTTATTTATTTGTAAAACACCTAGTTTGGTGTGTAATGCCTTAAAATTAAGTTAATTTGAAGTTGTCAAAAATTACCAATAAACCAGAAAAAAAAAATAGTTAGAAAGAAAGAATAGTTTTTTAACTTGATTTCTTACTCTTGTTTTTTGTTTTTAACTTGCCTCCAGCGTGTTTTCTTTTAATTACAATTTTCTGTTTTTCATCATGAGTGAAAAATTAAAATTTTAGTTAAAAAGTGTTACAATTTGGAATAGAAGACATTTGAAATAGTGGAAAGAAAAGGGGGGCGTTTCTATCTTTAGAAATGTACTCTGAAAAGTGAAAATCGGATATTTTTTCAGTCAGACTTCCACATAGAATAATTTAAAAAAATATTTAACCAAAAATACAATTTAATTTTAAAATAATGGGAATAGCCTGAATAAAATAATTCAGTGTCCGAGGAATTGTAAGACGAGAAAATTGTGAAAAGATGTTGGTTCATATTTTAATTTATTTTATTTTATTTCTTTGAGAAATTTAATAAAAATATAAAATTTATTTAAGCAAGAAAACTAGTACACCACGGACCCCCCACCCGAAAAACACATTATTTAAATATTTTTTAAAATTCCTTTGAACTTGAATTTTGGTTCTATTTGAAATCTAATCTAATTTAAGCATGTCCACTGTTTTCGCGGAAAAACAGCATAGCGTAAATGAAAAATGCCACAAACTTAAAGAAAATAAAGTATTATCGTCAAAATGCTTATGTTATATTATTTAGATGAAAGAAAAAAGTATTTTTTAATTATTTTTTGAAATTTTTTAATATTTTCTAACACGTTCGAAATTTTGGTTAAAGTCGTCTTTGTTTACGTCATCGCGGCGACGTTTATTCGTATGTAAAGAAAAATTAATTTCCGTGTATAAATAAACTTTTTTTTTTTTTTTTTTTTTTTTTTTATTTCCTTTTTTTTCGTCACTCATCGAGCCGTAAAAATGCAAACAACAAATTTAAAATTCTCTTTAAAATCCAATATTTATCCTAGAGATATTTTTCGAAGTCTAGTAAATTTAAAAACTGGATTTTCTAGAAGTACCTTTTTTCAAAAAAAAAGTAAAACAGAATGAAAATAACGTTTTATTTACGCACGCTAACCCGTGAGGACAAATATAGAAAAAAACTAATTCTACCCCTGTCCAAAAAAGCGCTGGAAAAAGTAAAAATAAAACCTTTTTTTTTTTTTTTAAACTTTAGTTTAAACTAAACAATAGGGAAAATGTATAAATTGTAACACCCGAGCGCTAATATCCCTTCAAATTTTTCCAAAAAAGTCTTAATTCCGTGCAAATGTATATGCTTTCTTTACTCAAATCAACAATTAGATATTAAAGAAAGCTACCTTTTTAGATGTTAACGACCAGAAATAATTGGACTTATTCTCGCTCTTCTTGTCATACTTTACGGCCTTATTGAGAGACATTCACTGCTGAACGATTTCGCGCATTTATACAATTTTGGCCTAATTACTCCCTCAACGAAATTAATACGCGTTTTTTTTTTTCTTTTTAATTTAAGTAGGGTTAGGGTTAGGATTTTTTTCCAAGCTTTTAAGTTCCTTTAATTTAAGTAGGGTTCGTTAGGGTTAGGATTTTTTTTCCAAGCTTTTAAGTTCCTCTTACAATTGATTTTAATTATTGTTTTTTATTTTCAATGTATAATATTAAAAAATGCTTTACTGTCCTACTTATTTTGTTCTTTTTGTTATTTATAATTTATAAGTATTTTCATCGATATTTTCATATATTTGAAAGTTAACTTTCTTCTTTAAAAAGTACACTTATCACTTATTTTCATACATTTGAAAATTACTTTGTTATTCTTTTATTTGTCGATATTTTCATTTGAAAGTTAACTTTCTTCTTAAAAAAATAAGTAAAATCTACACTTGAAAGTTAAAAGTTAACTTTACTTAAATTAAAAAGAAAAAAAAAACGCGTATTAATTTCGTTGAGGCCAAAATTGTATAAATGCGCGAAATCGTTCAGCAGTGAATGTCTCTCAATAAGGCCGTAATGTATGACAAGAAGAGCGAGAATAAGTCCAATTATTTCTGGTCGTTAACATCCAAAAAGATAGGTTTCTTCAATATCTAATTGTTGATTTGAGTTAAGCATATACATTTGCACGGAATTAAGACTATTTTGGAAAAATTTGAAGGGATATTAGCGCTCGGGTGTTACAATATACATTTACCAACAATAGTTTACTTTAAGAATATAATTTTTTATTCTATGTACGCTTTTATTTTATGAATAATTTTATTTTTTTTATACTTACTGAACTGATTTATTTTAGGTAAAGAAAGAGCATATGATGATGAAAAAAGACAAAGTTTTATCGTCAAAAATGTTTGTTATTCAGAGGAAAGACACCAAAACAAAGTATTTTTTTTATTAATTTTTTTTAAGTTTAACGAAAATTTCGAAATTTTCTTGAGTCGTATGGGATATTTAACAATATAACATCTTTTTTTACAGTAAAAAAACTCATTGTGTTGAAAATTTTTGAAAAAAAATAAAAAAAATATATTGTCGGATTTTAATGAAATTTTCAGAACTTATTCACAAATGAATGAAATTATTTTGAAATTATTTTTTTTTTTTTAAGCATCTGTTACTTCCCACCTAATTTTATGAAATTTCGAAAAATTAAAATCTCACCCACTTCATATTTAAAATTTAAAACGGGACTCATTGGAAAATTTAAAATTTAAATTCTCCAATGAGTCCCGCTTATCGTCTAAAAATATTTAGAGGAAAGATCAAAGTATTTTGGGGGTATTTTTTTACATTTTTTAATCGTTCCTAGCACGTCCGAAATTTTCGTTAAAAATCTTGTTTTTTTTTTTTTTTTGAGTCAGCAAAATTGACCATTTTTTTTCCATTTTATAAAAAAACTGCAAATCTCACTTTGAAATTCTTTTAAATATCAATTATCATTTTTTCAAAACTTATTTTAAGAAAATCAGAAATTATAATGCTTATTAGCTTATTTAAAATATTTTGAACCAAGCTTAACTTAGCTTCTGCGCCGAAAAGATGTAATTTGAAAATAAAACAAAACAGGTCATAAACTTTCGCATCACTTGACAGGTGATGAATGACATATTGACGGATTCCGTGCGGCTACGGAAGGAGAAAAGTGAAATAATTTACATTTAAGTGAACAAATTATTTACCTCGTTACTTTTAAGGAAAACTTTCAGCACTCTAATTTTTTTTTTTGTACTTAGCTTTGCCTTTCACCTTTACATTTACGATGCTTTATAGAAAATATATTATAAAGAAATTAAAATAAGACTGTAAGACAGATTAAATGTCATAAGAAAGGTATCTAATTAATTTATAGGTACCTTCTTTATGAAATTTTATCAGAAGTATACATAAAATAAAATAATTTTATGTACATTTATTACATTTTACTGTGTTATTTGTATTTCCATTCATTTTATTATTAATTTTGATATTTCATTTATGGAAAAATGTCATAACTGAGATTAATATAAAAATAAGATCATATAAATTTCATAAGATGATACTGATACTTGTAGGTACCCTTCTCAGTTGAAACTGAAAAATCAAATTAACTTCTCCACACGTGTTTCGCAAAAGTAAAGGCCTTAACAGCAGAGAACAATGCTTAACTCAAATAACGCAACTTAATTGTATTCTGGTTGGTCTTCCGTACTTCATAATTACAGCCTGATTATAAACACAAAATTACATTTCTTAATTACTGCGGATCTTCTGATTAGTCAAAATGATACAATTTACAACGTGCTAAAAAAAGATCTATCTTATAAGGAGACTTAGGAAACCCGATGCAGTTTTTAACTAATTTTATAATATTTTAATAACTTAAATGTAAAAATCTATTATAATTAAGAAATAACAAATAATTGTATTAAAAATTCATTTTTCATCGAAAAAATTTTTTGCTTTCAGAAAATATTGTCCATATTCATAAAAACAACTAAAAGCAAATAAAAGCATTTGAAATTAAATAATATCTTTTTGTTAAGTTTTGTATGTTACAAATCAGAGCTGATTTTCAGGTAGGGGGGTCCAATTAAAAAAAAAAAAAAAAATGTTACTGCAAAAAGTTTGAATGAACACCCACCAAATTAAAAAGTACATATGTGATATCAAAAAGTATATGTGCAGGGGTGAAACATAGCTCCCAGTAAATATTTTCACAAAGTTTTTTTAATAAAAATAACCTGTTCAGTAAAATATTCATTCATTAATGAATAAGTCCTAGAAATTTAATTTGAATTAGATAACTCTCTGATATTTGGCACATATTTTAAAATTGAGTATTGATCTTTTGCTTTCATAATAGAAAAATGTATAAATTTGGTGGTACCTAGCAAGAGCTTATTAAAGCTCATGCAAAAGAAAGCAGATAAATCTTAAGAGTGACAATCATTGTTGTAGTTGTAAGAATATAATGTAATTTATAATATATTGTGAGAATAGTAAAGAATAAATGTTTCATGGCGCTTGCTCTAGCACTTTGGAGCTGGATTCATCTGCATTTTGTCTTTGAACACTAAAATTCCTAACTATTTCTTGGAGATTCCTACTACAAAGTCGCACCTCTCAAATGCATCATACACATGTCAAAAATCATGGGATAGGTTCCTAGTATTGTGTAGGACCTCAGTAAACTGGAAAAGTTTAGCAATTTAATGTGGCATCAATTTCATAATTTGTTAAAAGAAATGTTGAGCAAAGCAAACAGGGTAAGTTAGTGATATCACAAGGTTCTGTATCCATCGTTAATGGGAGACCTAGTTGAGTTGTGAATGACTTTGATTGGCATGTGAGTTTTGCTTATAGCCATATGTATGCATATGAGGCTCAACGTTAAAGAAAACTTTTGAAAATGCCTCTGTTGGGGAGATGAATAAATTCACCTTTCAAATTTATTCAACTTTTTAGTCACAATAGTGTATTATTGAAGAATTTAAATGGGTTTTCAGTATTTTTTAGCATAAAAAATCCCTCATACTGTGGTCATATTTTTATGTATTTTATGTGTTATAATTACCTCAGATTTTTCTTTTTTTTCTTGAAGATCCCAGACTCAGGAAATTGGATCAAGATGTCCTGAAAGAAACCCTTGCCAGTTTTGCTCTTTTCATTTCAGAAGCAGCTAAACATGATACAGATGTACAATCCTTAATGTAATGATATTTTTTAAACTTCACTTTTCCTATATTTTTCACTCTTTTATACTTTTTCTACTGTATATAACTCTTTGTTATTAAGTGTTAAAATGCAGTGGTTTGATTCTTTAAAGCATATTTTTTACAATTCATAGTTTATTTAAGTCAGCAAAACTCTAAAATTGACATAAGTCTCAATCAGACTAATAATTCCAATCCAGATTTATCTATGAAAATTTATTGTTTGGGTTGTACTTTGACAAAATAGTAGCTGTGTATATTAAGTTATTAGGTTGGAAAAGTTCTTATGAAAAGAATAAATTAGCTTTGTTTATAATTAAACATCTTTAATTTCTAATAAATATATCTGCTATAAATATTAGTTTAAATCCAGCTAGTTTTTGTTCTAAGTTATTTTGAAATAATCTCAAAATACAAGTAAGTAAACTAAATTTTCCTCTAAATTTCTAACCAAGTAAGAAGTTAATAGCAAAACATTACTTATGTAAGTATATCAAATTGGATTGGTCAATTCTTGCAAATACAAGACTACCATGAACATGGGATGTAGAGGGTCAATAAGTTAAATAATTTTTCATTTTAGCCATTCATGATATCAGTTGAAGAGTTGCCAAAAGTGATTGTCTTGTGAGAGTATTGGATAATCAAGTGGATGTGTTGTTATTTAAATAATTATTTCTTATTATAACTCAATGTTGATGGTATGGTGTTTCTGAAGAAAATCTGTTAAAGTGACCATGAAGTAATATTGCAAAGGAAAATTTTGCAGATTATACTAACAGTTACTCTGAATTGTAACCAAAGAAATTAACTTTTTAATTTTTATTTACTTTATGTATACAATTGCTTTCAGAAAATATTGTCCATATTCATAAAAACAACTAAAAGCAAATAAAAGCATTTCTTTTTTTAAGATTTGTAATTTTGTTTTTTTTCCTAGGTCATTGTTAGAAGAATGCAATTTTTCAAAAGACCGTATCAAAACATTTGTCAGTGTATTTTGTGTAAGTATGGTATATGTGTTTAGTTGATTTTGCACTTCTTTTTTTTTTTTTTTGTGTCTTGTTTAACACCTGAAGCAGAATTAATGAAATGCTTGTGTGCATTTACACATATGATTTTTAATTAATTCAAGCAATGTTAATCTTGAAACTCAAATTTTAGTTTACATTGTATCTTTGCTTCACTGACATACTTTCATTGATTTCATCACATTTAATGAAGAGTGGCACAATCTGTCTTAATAAATCTAGATTTAAATACTTTTAGTGTCTGAATTTTTAGTGGTATAAGAGACATTTGTGTCTTCTTGAAGAATGTAATTGATTTAATTACCTGAAACTGTTCTAATAGCTGATACAGGGTGCAAAAATTTCACATTTCAAAATTTGTTTTCATTTTTATAGCACTCTGAAAAAAATTGTAACATTGATCTTTCATTATTATTTATTTGTAATTTCTGCTATTTGTAGGTTTTCAACAGGTGAGCTAAAATAATTGGACCAAAAAAAATTGTTTAAAGTTTTCAAAAGTTCAGTATCTTTGGTCCATTAGTAATTTCTTGAGCTTTTAAAAATTAAAATAAGAAACATTGTGATACATGTTCTGCCAGTTAAATTATTCTGTTACATTTAATGATATTTTTAATGCAACAATGATGCCAAAACAAAATTTAAGATTACAGTGTAACCCGGATATAAGAGTTGTCGGGACCGGAGAAGAAGTCTCTTATATCCGGGTTTGGTCTATTTTGTTTAGGTAAGTATGGGAACACTTCATATAACGCTTTTTGCGTACAGAACACTAGTTTATTTAACAGTTATAGACATAAAAAACACAGACAAAAATACATTTTCAACCAGTTTTCAAAATAATTCAATCAAAAATTACTTTTTCTTAAAAAAGTCAGTCATTTTTGATTGTACAGAAATCTCTTTGTTAACATCATGAACTGTCATACAGTCCGTAAATCATTTTCAATGCGCCATCAGGATTACTGCTTTTTGCTTCAAAGTAGGCTGTCAGAGTTTCAAGCGCATTCAATGCAGCCAGAGAATTTGGCACTGGTTTATCGCTTTCAGAAACTTCAGAACTAACGCTTTCAGCATCATCATCTTTGTCAAAATCTTGATCATCCGATTTTATACGACGTGTGATGTCCGTGTCAGTCAGTTCTCCATAACATTGTGTACGGTCGTCAAAGCTGATAAATTCGTCAAAATCTGTTTGCTCCATGCCCGATGGTGGAGAAACTTGATCATTTTCGTCGAGTATTTCTTCCACTTCAGCCTGTGATTCAATGACAAAGCCGGCCTTTTTAAAACAATTTTGAATTGTTGACGGTTTGACCATGAAAAATGCTCGCTTCATCATGTGCATGGCCTTCAAAACAGTTATCTGCTTGGCTACCTCGGACAGCGGCACTGGCGGTGTAGCATCGATCGCTGCGATTTGCATTCGAACAAGTTTCCGACGATAATACGCTTTGAATAAACAAATGATGCCTTGATCCAAAGGTTGAATGAGACTGGTGGTGTTTGGTGGCATGAACGACAATATGATGTTTGACAGATTTGTACCCGGCAGTAAGTTATGACAAGTTGCATTGTCCAAAAACAGAATAATCTTTCGATTTTGAGCAATCATTTTTCGATCAAGCGTTTTCATAACGTCAGTAAACAGCTGACTAGTCATCCAGGCTTTACGATTAGTGAAGTAAGAAAATGGCAGTTTTGACATTTTTAAAGCAGCGTGGTTTTGCTGACTTACCAACAACTACAGCTTGCTTTTCACTGCCGTCCATGTTTGTGAACTGAAGAATCGTGAGTCTGTCTTTGGGAACTTTTGTCACATTTGACTGTTCGTCGCCGGCAAATCACAAAGATCCAGATGGCACGGCTTTGTAGAAAATTCCCGTTTCATCACAGTTCCAAACATCTTTTGGATCATATCCATGAAAAAGTTGCGGCAAAACGTTTGTCACCCATTCGCTGGCAGAACCCGTGATCTGCTGACGTTGATTCGCCAGAAATTTTTTTTGAACGAAACATTATTGGCCTGCTTCAGCGCATGAGCCAGCCATTGCTCGTTCAAAAATCAACTTCAAGATTTACGCCAGTTGTGATGCTTTTCTGCCTGATGACGTGATCGGTGACGGTAGCTCCATGAGCACATGCTTGCGTAAACCATTGTGTTAGCATTTCGTTAACATCCTTGTGCATGGATTACGCTTTCGTTTGCGATTAGTGTTTCTGTTCATTTGCATGCAAGATCTGAGATCGCCTTCTTTCTTGAGTTTTTTGCTGCTGTTGAATAACCGATTCAGACTTTTTTGGCTGCAGCGGCCAGTTTGAGTTTCTTCACTTTGACATCGTCGATGAGCTCCAACTGTTCAGAAATGCTCAGAGTTTTTCATCGAGACGCCGACATCACTAATCGCAATGATTGCAAGCAAATGGTTTTCAGTGGCAAAATAACAAACAGACAAACTTCTGACTCAACAGAACAGTGGGTAAAGTGAAAGTGCTGTCCAGTAAAAGCAAAGTTAGCAAAAAAGCAGGCGGCGCTACCCTTAGACACACAAAGCAAAATCATAAGGTAGAGGGTGTCTCCTACAGACACAGACTGGACACACCGTGTCTCTAGACTAGTCAAGATTAAGTCATTGAACTTCACTCTCTCTCTAACTGACCTCTGTTTGACTGATTTACGACATCACACTGTCACTCAAAACGAACTCTCTTATATTGGGGAGGACGGGACCAGAGAAAAATCTCTCTTATATCCCGGGTTTCTCTTATATCCCAGGTCTATTTTATATACATTAACACAGGCTCTAATTTGGGACCAGAGAAAATCTCTCTTATATCCGGGTTTCTCTTATATCCGGGTTACACTGTATTAACTTTTCTTTATTATAAATGTTGAGTAAGATATTATACTTAAAATGTTAGTTGGCACAATTTTGAAAATAAGAGATTAAATCAGTAATTCTTAATTTTTAGAAAGGAATGTAATATTTACATAACAACACTGTGCCATGTGTCCTTGAGGACACATGGCACAGTGGTATGAATTATAAACCTAATGTCTTCAGCAATCACTTTTACCAGTGCTCATATTGCAATTTTTTTGCTGTTATTGCATTTTTTTTTTGCAATTTTTGTTGTTATCATTGCTTTTCTCTGGCACTCCTTATTACTGGTTCCCATATTCATTTCTATGCTTGGTTGGCTCAGGAGATTTTTGTGGCCTACGTTATGTGCTGATTTCTTAAGTTTATGAATTTTCCAATGGTGTTCTTTGTCTATGAGCTCAACCTGATCCCACGGAGGGCAGTGGTCTCCCTTCTCTCTCTATATGTGGTCAGCCACGCCTGATTTTTCCACTTCCCCTCGTGTTACAGCTTTCTGGTGTTCTTGAAGCCTTACCTTAAGGGGGCGGCCTGTCTCCCCTTTATATTTCTTTCCACAGCTGCACAGGATAACGTACACAGTCTAGTCATGTTCTTCTCTATGGGGGGTCTTACTCGGGAGAGATATCTGCGAAGTGTTGTCAAGCTTTTGAAGGTTGTCCTGATGTTATATGGACCACAGATCCTTTGTATTTTCTCTGATAACCCCTTCACATAAGGCAGGCAGGCTGTTTTCTGAGTGTTGTTTTCCTCCTCTTGTACCCGCCTATCCCAGTTTTTGGGGCTGCTGCAATGTACCCAAGGTAGTTGTTGTAGGGTACTACTATGACTTTTGCTTAGTTTTGTAAGCAGCGGCCGGTCTCTTTCTTTACGCTTTATGGATGGTGGGAGTTGAAATTGAGGTAGTGTCCGGTGAATGTCGGTTTACAGTATATGGATGTCTTGAACGCTTGCTCTGTTTGAGATATTAGAACATCCAGGTATGGGAGTGTGTTGTTATTCTCTTTCTCCATTGTGAACTGTATCGAAGGTCTTATTGAGTTCACGTGGTCCAGTAGAACCTGAACATCTTCCTAGTGTGGCCAGAGTATGAAGGTGTCATCTATGTACCTTAACCATATAGTTGGCTTTAGAGATATAGATTCTGATGCCATTTCCTCAAAGTATTCCATGTATATATTCGCCATTGCTGGTGATAATGGTGAGCCCATTGCTAAGTCTTCATCCTGTCGATATATGTGTGATCCCATTCCGAAACGTGTTGTTTGTGTACAGAAAATCAACATCTCCATCTGATTATCTATTGAAATACTGGTCTGTTCTTCTAGGGATGAGTCAGAGGCCCATCTGTTTCTGATTACTGAGAGTGCCTCCTCCATGTGTATCTTGGTGAACAAACTCACCACGTCCAAGCTCACCATCTGGTTGGATAGGATGGGAGCATCTTTGATTATTTCCACAAAGTGGGTGGAGTTTTGGACATATGAAGGAGACTTTCCGATCAATGGGTCAATTTTATCTACAAGGAAGCAACTTAGAGGGTGGCACACAGACCCATGGCAACTAACAATCAGCCTGAGCAGAATACTGTCTTTGTGAATCTTAGGGAGGCCGTATATGTGAGGTAGCTTGGTGTAACGCTGTGATAACTGCCTATATGTCTTAGGTGCAAAGTGATCCTTGTTCTTGATTAGTATCTGTGACAGTTTGTGTTCCGTTTTCATTGTAGGATCCTTTTTTACTTTGCTGTAGCTACCATTGCTAATGAGGTCTTCCAGCTTTCTTGTACAATCTGATTTGTCTATCACTACAGTTGCATTGTCTTTGTCAGCCAGTAGTATGATGGTGTTTTTGTTCCTCTGTAGGGATCCGATCACCAGCCTCTCCAGTGTTGTTATGCTAGACCTGGGCGGCTTGGCCTTCTCTAAGGTCTGTCTCACCTTCCATCTCAGTTCATCTGCCTGAGCCTGAGGGATGTTCAAGGCCACCTTCACGACTCTGCCAATGATGTCCAAGTATGGCACTTGCCTGATGGTTGTGGCGAAGTTGAGACCCTTATTCAATATTGACTTCTCAGATGCACTCAACTGATATTGGTTGATGTTGACTACTGCTTTCACTGGTGGGTGATGGAGCTTGTGTGTCACCTGATCTTTCAATCTATTTAATTTTTGTACTTTGCGAGCCTTGACTACATCGAATTCATGTCCAGGTCATTTTGGATCCTTCTCTGGTCTTCTTCATTAATGACTCTGTTGAAGAAATCCTTGAGCCTCTGGGAGATATGAGCTTGTAGTCTCTTTTATCCAATGATTGTACTGAATTCTCTCTCGGACAAGGGCATGTCCCACTTTTTCTGCGACCATATGGGCTCTCCTTGAATTGACGGGAAGTCTTGGTGCTAAGCCCGATGGGATGAGTTGTAGATCTCTACGTCGGTGTAGGAATGTCAGATGGTTTGATATTCATGCCAGTTCCTGGTAGGATTTTTCAATGTCTCAATATTTTTGGTATATCAGGTCTGTACCGATCCTTCAGTATCTGTCTATTTCTGAGATGAGGTATTATGTACATTATTTACACTATTCAGACTATTGTCCTCATCTTTGTCGCTATATTTATTACAACGTTTTGGCCGTTTTTTACACTCTGGCCTTTTTCATGTGGTTGGAATGTTGAACTGAACCCTTTATTTACTAAGGGAGTCAGTATCCTCCAATTTTTTCCAGTTTGCTTGATGTGTTTGTGGAACATGATAAATTATTTGCACTAAATTTTTGGTGCTTTTATGTAGGTCCATTTCTGTAGTCTCTTTCAAAATTTGATTTATTCAGAATGGGTAGATACAGTTTTGAATCATTTGACCTTGGTTCTGCCTTAATAGTGAAATACATAATTACTTTCCGAACATACAAACACAATTTTTGCTTCATTTTTTGTGAATGTCTAAACCATTTTATAGCACATTTGATTTAATTTTGTATTTCAGAAAAATAAACCATTTCTACAAACCTTATTAGCAAAGTAAGTATTATAGCATTTATCTGCATGAAAATAATGCCATACTTTTCAGGCTTCTTTTTCAAATTTTTTCAGTCAGAAAATCTTTAAAATCTAATCATAATAAATTCCATTTGGATAAAACATTTAATAAAATCTTTTATGATAATGAAAACAATTATGAAATGGCAATAAAGTTGAAAATATAATTGACTATACATTTTTATTTTTTTATAAGCATAAAGAGATATATATATTTTAGTAGAAAAGAATGTTAGAATTGCATTACATTTTTGATTTCTCACTACTTTTTTCTTTTAATATGATGCATTAATTCCATCACCATAAAGATCTTGTATGATTTTTGGCATTGTAACTTTTTAACATTGTTTTCAGCACACATGAAAGTCTTCCACATGTTCTTGGTGTCAAGTGGCGACTAGATTATTATATAAAGGTAAGTAACTAGTTTTCTTTTCATTCAATGGAAAAATGCTAAGTTTTGATCAAATTATTTGTTTGTTAAATTTATTCTCTGATTTCTTAGAGGAAGAGTTGTTCATGTTTGAATTGATTAGTTTGAATCCAGGATAATTCAGTGACATTTAAAATTCTTACAAAATCAAAGATAAAATAATTTTCTCTACCACTTTTCACTTTGTAGAGCAATCATCTTGAAAAAACCCATCAACCTGTCTATTTGCTGAGTTTAGTGACTGAGGTAAGACATTTTACTTTAATCTCATTTTAACAACACTTTCCATTTTATGTGTAATTATACATAAACTTTATATATCACTAAGTGAACTCTAGTTTTTGTTTTATTAACTTTTTAGTTTCATGAATTATGTCAAGAACTCTTTTGTTAACTTAAAAAATAAAATGTTCTTAAAAACCAAGTCAGTAATCAAACAATGATATACTTTTGTCCTGAGTTAATAATCAAAATGATTTTGTCTATTCTGTTCTTAACCTTATGCTAATACTAAAATGTTTTTCCTCATATTTAGCAAATGACAAGTCAAATTTTCATGATTATTCAAGTAGCTTTCTGAATACCTCTATCTAGTAACTACAAGGAATTTCTGGTTTTAGTTATATTTGTGGGAATTACTATCAGTTTTATTTGTTTATTTAGGTATGCAAAAGCATCTTGTGCTGTGACACTGCGCTGTCAGTTTGTGGTCAACTCCCAGTCGTGGTGCGAAGCTGTAATGTTTCTTCCACCGGTGTTTTGGGGTTGACTCTTAGTCGCTGCCACCAGCCTGTGTCTCGGTCAATTGGTGGTTGTACCTGGTTTGATACCAGCTCCATCATTCCCAGCTAACCTCCAATGTCTGGTTACTGAAGTAACTGCTTCGATCTCAAATCTGACCTACCCACGTTGTGATTTTGATATTAGGTAGACAAGATCAATCAGGCGTTGGGCCGTAGTGTAAGCTGAGTCCATACTGAAGGTGATATCGCACAAGCATAAAGAAAAAAGAAGCAAGTAAAGAAAAAAAAAAAAACAAGAGGTTCAAGTATGTTAAGAAATAGCAAATTAATTTTATCCATCTGTTATATACAGGAGTGTGTTTTCCTCCCAGCCCGTTTTCTACAGATTGTGACACTTCTACGTTTCTTAAGCAAGTTTTGGTATCTTAAGTCAACTGGTTTAGTTCTTAGATGCTGGCTTGGCTTCGTTCATCAGTATAACTTGCTATTGGTAGGATAGACGAAGTCGGAGGTTGTAGAATCTCTCTGTCAGCTTCTACAAGGCAACACTTTGGTTCCCGCTACCTAAACTGACTGTCTGTCGAATGGCCCGAGGACATTTGTTTATATGGGTACAGACCAAAACCCAGTGTGAGGCCAAACGCGGCCCGGGTTTCTTGTTAAATCTCAATTCCCAACAAGAAATCTCTTTGTTGTCAGGCCAGGAAAATTGATTACTTCCCATTTTTGGAAAATTAATTACTTTCCATTTTTGGGGGGGGGGGTCTCCCTCATTCGTGAGGGGTGGTTGGAGGAGAGCTATCCTCCTAAACTCTTCCTTTCTCACATTGATATCTCATACCAATCCCTTCAGTGGGCGTTAATAACTTCTCCATCCTTCTCATCCATTCACCTCCGCCTATCACCATTGCTACCACTCGATCAATGGCATCCCGGATGTGTGGGTGTGGCTACGCTGGCCTCCTTAAAATTATAACCCAGAATTTTTGTTTACAAAATTCTCCTTTTTCCCATTGGCCAAAATTTTTACGAATTCCATGTTGCCACTTAAAATCTATCATATCTTTTGGTCACTCAGAATCCACTTAACCAGCACTCTTTACCAATTCCAGCAGTCACTGTCAAATTTTGCCATCTGGTCCCTTCGTGAAGTTAGCTTTTACTGGAACCCTTGGCTTCTTGAGAAATTAAATTCCTTATCTCACCAAATCACAATTCTTCCACGCTATCTTTTCTCATGCCCAAAATTTTATAATTACCATATTTCTACTCAACGTCTTGGTGTCTGAAAGTGACACTTTGGTAAAGTAAATAATAATGATCTTCTCCACCTGTATCTGGATAAATTTTTCTCTCATGCCAAAATTCCCACAAATACCATGGCTTTTGCCTTGCCAGTACTCAAGAAAAAAAAAAATATCTTGGAAAGATAATTAATATTGATACTCCCTACCCTGTATCGGCAATTGTCCCAGGCCAAAATTTTTATGACTGTCATGTGGTCTGCCCGATATCTTAATGCTTTGCTTTCCGAATTCTCATATTTCCCTTGGCAAGGCATTCTTACAACAATATTAATCAATGTGACAAAATCTCACATATGACTTTTTCTCTGGGTTTACTGTCTTTTGTGAAAAGTAACTTTTTCGTAAATAAAATCAAATCTTTTTAACATTGAACGGTATATCTTTCGGCCCTCATTATTTCTTGTTTTAATTTCTATGGTTAATTAGTTAGCCAATTACCATAGCTAAATAGTGTCACAGTGCTAATGGAGGGATTTTTCTACTGGTTTTCAGATTTTAAGAATTGGCTTTTTATGTTGGTTTAATTATTCAATAATAAGCAAGAATATAATTTTAAGTTATTTCTGTAAATAACTTGTAATTTTCTATCAATATAGCTTCATTATTTTGTTATGACCACATACAATAAACAGTAAAAACATTTTTCAAAATAAAATTTTTTTTTTTTTTTTTTTGGTGGGGGTTCATTTTTATTTATCCTATAAAAATCAGAAAAAAGTCAAGACAATATATAACAAGAAAATTAAGAACTAAATGATGGTATATCTATAATGCTGCAAAAATGGCGCACAGTACTAATGTAGAATTTGAAAAGGAACTTGCTGTTTATTTAATATTTTGAATAATAAAAATGATACTTAGAACTTACATAAAAATAAATTTAAAAAATAATCTAAAAGTATTATTATTGATGTTTTTTTAAGCTCTGTAATTTGGTTGGCTAAAAAAAAATAAAAAAAAAAAATAAAAATCATATTTTTATCTTATACCTTTCATCAGCATCATGCAAAAAGGTGTTGAAAAGCTCAGCCTAACACACTTTCTCAAGAAAAAAAGCAAAAAGTTCTAAAAAAATTCTGTTTATTTGGTTAAATTGTATTTAACCAAATGAACAGATAGAAATTTTTAGAAGAGCTTTTTGTTTATATCAAGAACTTTTCAGCACATTTTCATAATCAACTGATGCCTGGAAGCTGCTTACTTTTTATATTTTGTTATAGAAATTAATTTTAATATATAAAAAAGGTTATTCAAGACAAAAAAAAATGCAACTATTCTATTTATGTATTCAACCTGCATGCATAATCCAAATTTTCAGGTGAAATGATTATTTTTTTTATTGATATCTTTACTAAAGTAAATAATTTCCTTTGACTAAAACCAACAGTTACATTATTCATATTTTGTAGCAAAGTAGTTGACAATGATTTTAACATGTGTTCTAATTATTATAATTCAGAAAAATATTAAAATATTTATTCATTGTCAAACAGAAACAATTATAATTAGAAAATAAGAACTTAAAAATACCTTTGTACAAGCTAAAGATCCCGACAGTTTGTCTTAAGATATTTTTCTTCTTTCAGATCCCTGGTGAGAGCGAATTGCAAGAACTAAATTTCTCGTGTACATTGGAACAACTGCAGATGTTAGTCGGCAAGTTAAGAGATGCTAGTAAATGTGTAGAGAGATTTGCTCAGCTCTAGGGAAGCAAACACAGTTATCAGAACAGAATTATAGAGTTTGATCAGTGGAAATGGAAACTGAAACTTCTCCAGAAATCTTTGACCAATCTATTTTCAGAAATTTGTATGCAAGGCTATTTTGCAGATTTGCTTGTTTACAAATCAAGAATTTATTAAAAAAATGATTTTGTTTGGAAGAGTCACTAGAAATGAAATCTGCTGACCTTGATAATTTATGAAAAAGCATAGGGAGATAGTGTATATAATAAAATATTTACATTAACAGTTTGACTTATTTTCTTTGCAAAAGAGTGACTTGCAGGAGTCTGATGTTTTTTGTTTAGAGACAATTCCCACAGAATTTTTTTCACTCTGCCACACATTAAATAAATCTTATTTAAAACTTGAACATTATCATCAAAATCTTACTTATTATAAAACGCAGATTGTGTGTGTGTGTGTGTCTGTAACGTTTATATGTTGGATCGAATTTCCTACATTTTTTAGCCAATTTCAACAAAACTTCACAGGACTACATGAAATTACCTTGTGGTGGTTCTAACGGGGCCGAAAATGGGGAAAAATACAGTTGTTTTTTAATAAAATCAATTTGTAAACACGATTAAGACACATCGTGAGAATGAAAGGGGGACAACTCAACCACGAAAATGTAAACAAAAGAGCATAGCATGATGAAAAAAAAGCCGAACTTGACAAAAACAAAATTTTATCGTCTACTGTTCATATTATTATTAAAGAGGAAAGATCAAAAAGTATTTTGGGGTATTTTTTACATTTTTAATCGTTCCTAGCACGTCTGAAATTTTCGTTAAAAATATTGTTTTTTTTTTTTTTTTTGGGTCAAAAAAGGGCAGATAATCAATCATTTTCAATCATTTTTTTCGATTTGATAAAAAGATAAAAAAATCTTACTTTGATATTCTTTTAAAAATCAATTATCATTTTTTTCAAAACTGATTTTAATAAAACAGAAATTATACTGTTTATTTAAAATATTTTGAACCAAGCTTAACTTAGCTTCTGCGCCCGAAAAAATGTAATTTGAAAAATAAAACAAAGCAGGTCATAACCTTTCGCGTCTCTTGACGATTGACAAAAGGCACATTCATGATGTTTAGATACGGAGGAGGGAGGAGAATTCTTTCTACGGTTGGAAGGAAGTGAAATTATTTAAGTGAACAAATTATTTACCTTGTTACTTTTAAGGAAAACTTTCAGCGCTCTAATTTTTTATTTTTAATTTTTTTTGTACTTAGCTTCATTTTTACGTTTACGATGCTTTATGGAAATTTATAAGAAATTAAAAAATAAGACTGTTAATAGTGAGATTAAATTTCATAAGAAAAAGGTATCTAATTAATTTAGGTACCTTTCTTATGAAATTTTATCAGAAGTGTACATAAAATACTATAATTTTATGTACATTTATTACATTTTACTGTGTTATTTGTATTTCCATTCATTTTATTAATTTTGATATTTCATTTATGAAAAAATGTCATAACTGAGATTAATATAAAAATAAGATCATATAAATTAAAGTTTAGCAGTAGTTAAATTTCATAAGATGATACTGTTACTTGTAGGTACCCTTCTCAGTTGAAATTGAAAACTCAAATTAACTTCTCCATACATGTTTCGCAAAAGTAAAGGGCTTAACAGCGGAGAACAATGCTGAACTCAAATAATGCAACTAAATTGTATTCTGGTTGGTCTTCCGTACTTGATAATTACTGTCCGACTATAAACACAAAAAATACATTTCTTAATTACCATGGCTAATCTGATTGATCCAAATTATACAATTTTCAAAGCACTAGACAATGACAATCTCACACGGACATTTTGAAAGGTTGATGTTGCTTTTAACTAATGTTAAAATATTTTTTAAAATTCAATTTAAACATTTTTAAAAATCTTTTTAAAATTAAAGAAATAAGAAATAATTGTATTAAAAATTCAATTTTCATTGAAAAAATTTTTTGCTTTCAGAAAATATTGTCCATATTCATAAAAACAAATTAAAACAAATAAAAGCATTTGAAACTAAATAATATATTTGTTTTATTGAGTTTTGTATGTTACAATTCACAGCTGATTTTCAGGTACGTTGGCCAAAAAAAAAAAAAAACATGATTTGCATTCTTCAAAGCCTTGTGCTTTTAACTATTGTAATCACTAAAACCGATGGTCTCAATTTCTAGAGTTTTTCATAAAATTAGTTATGGGGTGTTAATAAATATAAAAAAATATTTCTGCCATGACTTTAATAAAAAAAAAAAAACATTTGTAATAATTTCGATCATCTGTGAATAGTTTCTGAAAGTTTCATTAACATCTGACAATTATTTTTATTTTTGCAAGATTTTCCAAATTAATGTATGTAAATACAAAAAACGCGCTAAAATTATCTATGTTATTTACTACCCCTTTGTTGCGACAAAGAGAAACAAGGTTTTTAAATCAAAATTTAGAATATTCTAAAAAAGATGGAAAAAATTAAAAAAATTTAGTCTATCCTCTTCATAAAAACAAGCATTTTGATGATAAAATTTTGTTTTCATAAACTTTGGCGTCTTTTTCATCAGACTATGCTCTGTTTTAGCGATTCCGTGGAGTGACTTAGGTTATAAAACAAAGGTTGTGTGTGTGTGTGTGTGTGTGTGTGTGTGTGTGTTCCTTTATATATGGGATTGGATTTCTTACATTTTTCAGACGATAAAACAAACATCCACTTTTTTTTTTGGCAGGTAGTATTTCTTATTGTCTTGCACACTTTTTTCTTTATTTACATTCAGAATGCTTTAAAAATTCCATTTACAAGACAATTGTTTATAATAAAATTCTATTCACCAATCGATAGACTCATAACGATTGTAAACAATGTTTTTGTTTGAATTTGGGTTTGACCAATTCATAAAAAAAAAAAAAAAAATAAAAAAATAACTAATTAAGACATGCGTATCCGTCAACCTTAAACAATAATCTTTGTCAATTTTATTTTTCAGTCTTTATGATGGTCGATACTTGATCTATCTCTTACTGTTACATCCCCGGGCTCTACTGCTAGTATATATTAAAAGATTGTTTCATTGTATGCTACAAAGATTCTTTCCTAATATCTGTACTTAGTACAAGGTGTTTTTTAATCAGTGTAAGCTTTGTCCAAATAAATGTCTAATTTGAAATGTCTACATAAAGTGAGAAGGGCATATGCAATCATAAATTAACAAACTGTGCGTGCACACAGATTTTGATATGTATGGAAATACTAATGAATTTTTAAACATTTTACTCTTTTTCAACCAAATATAATCTTGCTTAATTCATTATAAACTAGCATAATACTTGTCAAAAATGACAGGATGGTTTACATATTGTATAAAATCTATCACTGACATGCAAAAAATGATGGGATAGGTGTTTAGTACCATGTCAGATCTTCAGAAATTTTGAGCTATACTGTCCATTGACATTTATAAGTGCAGGATCTTGCAAGCAAATAGGTGAATATGGTGACATTATTTGTCAGAAGTCTCCAGAATGCTGTTCAAAATAATTGAGCAATTCTGCCCACTAAAATGATGTATTATCCTTTGAATAAGCCATCATTGGGTCAGTAGACATGGAGTCTATGAATAGAAATAAATTATCACAAAGCAGTGCAACATCCCATTTACCAATCAATAACATATTTAGGCAGACCAGCTGATCCATCCTATGCCATGTGAACATATTCCACACTATTAAGCTACTGCCACCAGTTTGCTTTGTTGACAACTGGGAAAATCCTAATACAAATGGAATCCTGGCACCTTGGGCAATGTCATATATTGCCTGTTCTCCAGGGTTCAATTAGAGACATCATAAGCCAAGTGTCTGATAGCATGTGTAAACAGGATCATCCTGATGGGTCTTCTACTCTTGTCCCATGAAATCAAGAGAATGTTGAACCGACTTGCTGGACATGCATCCGGTATTTTCTGCATTGAATGTTGGCAGGATTTGAGCCAGTGTGATTTGCCTGTCATTGCAGATAATTCTAGCCATGTCTGGTCATGATCATGTTGACAGTAATGCTTTCCCTCAGTTATTCCTAGTATACATGTGACACTGTACCACAAATGACCCCATATGAATATTTCATCTGTCTCGCATCCACTGCAGCTTAACTAGTGTTCACATTGACTCACCTGATGTCAGAGCACAACTGCTATAAGTCTGACCATTTCTATAATGTCAAGTTATGCTGGCACTACCTACCATTACCTTTACATACTGCTATCCCATTATTTCTAGTATGTCAGTAGGGGTGTGTATATAAGCAAGAATTTAAATTTTTATTAAATTCAACCAACAAGGTCAGTCTGCTTAATTTGTTTCTTTATTGTATTTTTCTAATCTCCCAAAAAGTTGTTGCATATATGGATAAAAATTGAGGATAAATTGCTTCAAGTTTGTTTTTGTTCATGTCCTTTTGTCTTGGTCATTATCAAGAACAACCAAACTGCACCTATTAGCACAAAATACTCTATGCTATTATTATAGCAATTTTCTAAGCCCGGCTTAGATGTGGCACAAGGCCAAAAGTATGGGGTACCCAGCAAGGATCAAACTCACTACTCAGTTGTAATTGATCTAGTAAGACAAGCTTTCTAACCATTACACCACGTCAAGGTTCCCCTATGCTATTATATAGGAAGAAAGAAAGAAAGAACTTGCATTAAATATCTTTCACCAAATGAGACAAATATTTTATATACATTTGTTTTCTGGTGTTGTCGAGCCCTGACAAATTGTTCTACATATTTACAACTTTATTACCATATTCACAATGTTTCGGCTGTTGTACAATCCAGCCTTCTTCAGGTGATAAATGTTGGAATTTTAAACCAAACCCACTATTTAGTTTGCAGGGGTAGATTGATCATTTTTTGGATATCACAGTTTCACTTAATCCCTTCAGTAATTCAACTCTTCAAAGTTTTGTTCCCTCTGCTGTGGTCAGGTATTGAACTCACAACTCTTTGAGTCAGGTCACTTTTTGGATTACTTCAACCAACGTTTATTCACTGGGGCATGTGTCATCAAATAAGTGAATATTTGGGACTTGTAAACATAATGTCTCCATAAACATTTTACTTTCTTTTATCAAGCTCATATTTTTTTTATTGTTTTTCTCTAGCTCTCTGTATTAATGGTTCCCATATTGTATTCAAGACTATACTTGGCTGACTTAGGAAATAAAAGCATTTGTTGAAGTAATCCAAAAAGTAACTTGACACAAAGAGTTGTGAGTTTAATACCTGGCCACAGCAGAAGGAACAAAAACTTGGAAAGTTGAGTTACTAAAGGGAATTAACTGAAACTGAGATATCAAAAAAAAAAAAATGCATGGCACATGGAATTAGGACAATCTACCTCTGTGGACTAAATAAAGGGTTCAGTTTAAAATTCCAACGTATATCACCTGAAGAAGACTGGAGTGTACAATGGCTGAAACATTGTGAATATGGCAGTAAAGATGAGGACAATAGTGTAAATAGTTACAATACCTCCTCTCAGAAATATAGACAGATGTTCTACATATATCACTAAGACAGCATGTGTAGATTCAAATTTAAAAAAAATGCAGCTAAATAAAATTTTGTCAATGATACTGGCAACAACTAATTCTTAATAACTGAAAAACAAAAAATAAGAACTTTAGGCAGTTGATCCATAATTTTTATCTTGTGCAAGTTATTTGAAAAACTACAATAAAAAAAATTCAACAGACACTATTGAGTTAATGAAACTATATATAGGGAAAAAAAAAAACAAAAAAACAACACTAAATGTTTATCTGTTGACTTTATGAAAAAGATCACTTGATTGTATGTTACATCATACATAATTTTTTTTTAAATTGTTGTTTTTCTTTTGTGATTCTAAAATTAAAGATGAAACAAAATAAAAAAAAAAGTACATAATATTTCAAGTGTTTATTTTAAGAAAAGTACATCTTGACAGGTTTGTGCAGTAGAAAGTTGGAGAAAGTACTGTAAATGATTAAACATGAAAAATGATTTTATGCTAGATATCTCTTCCTGAATATGATTCCAGTCAGGTAAAACAGTTGGGGTTGACTGTTCAAATCAGTTGAGAATCAATGTTATATGATAGAGGAAATAGCCAAGATATTCCAAATAAGTGTTGAAAATCATTTGCATCAGTTTCATATTAGTCACTTTGATGTGTTATTGCCATATAATTTAAGAACAACTGAACCATATTTAAATGTACAGTTTTGTGACAATGAAAAGTGGATACTTTGCAACTGAAATGTAAGAATTCATGAACAATTAAAGGCAAGTCTTCAGCCAAGTGATGTAATACTATGTACATACTGAGAAGCTGGAATGGAGTTCCTTCTAGGAGCTAATTGTTCCAACAAGTACTGCTTCCAATTAGACTAAGTGAAAGTAGCAATTGATGAAAAACCTCTGGAATTAGTTAAAAGAAAGAACATTTTTGTTCAGATAATGCTTGACCACATGTTTCTTTGGTGACCAAACAAAGAAAATCCTGTTGCAGCTAGCATTTTCAATGCTGATTTTCAAGGCAGACCACATCCACTTTGAGGATTGACAAAATATAATCTTCAAAATACTATTTGGACTTGTTTTGCATGAAGTTATGCTTAATAAATATTAAAACTAGACAAAACAATTACTCATTTTGGGTAATATTGTAATTCTTCCACACAGCATTTTCAGCAGGATTATAAAAATAGTTGCAATTTTTGGGGAAATTTTATTGACTTAACATGGCAATGTTCAGATTGCTGTAAATTAATCTACTTTTCTATTCTTTCTGTATTCATTCCCTCCACATCTTTTCTCTCTATGCACCTTCACCTGTGTTTATCGATACATGTTTAAAAGCAATACTGTTAAAAAGTAAAAGAATGTTCAATCATGTATGGGTGTGATTACACATAAAATAGATAAAAAGAACAAAGGGAATTTCAATAAGAATATGAAGAGAGAAAAAAAAAGAACAGCAAGGCACCTGGAGAAAATAAAAACAACACAAAACATAATTGGTGGTTTGCAGTATTTTTTTTAATCAGGCCAATAAAAAGTGTCAAAGAAACATTCCTGTAGGCATTGATGGAAGGAGGAGATTTGGTAAGATATTCTGCACATGACAATAATTGTTCTCTTCTCACCAGTTTTCAATCAATCATTAGTTAATATAAGAGAAATTGAATGATTGAAAACAGTTGCTATGAGAGCAGCTGAAGGAGATTTATAAATGAGAGCAGTTTTGCCAATAAAGTGATTTACTCAGCAAGTGAAATTAGTGTCAGGATAGGGGAAGGGACATTTAAAACAACTGGATTTTTTAAAACTCTTTGAGCATGTCTAATTTCAAAAGTGGAAATCTCCCAGAAATATTTCCTTGCATGATTTCCTTGGCTGGCTGGCTGTTAAAAAAAAGCGAGTTAATAAATGAAAGTAAATTCCATCAATTGAGGAATGAATGAACCAATTGATTTTGTCTGCAGGCAACACGGCCTTTCTATCTTCAACTAGGATTTGATAGAAATAACAATCTTACGTGAATAAAGAAAAGTGCTAAGTAGATGACCTGTTGAGATGTATTTACAAAAGACAAAAAAGGATGGGGTTAACATCAGAGTGATTGTAGTAGGAAGATATGGTCAAGTCCTTTTTCTTCCTTTTCATCATACACACTCATGCACACACACACTAGTGAAAAATGTTTATGGAAATCATATATAGGCATTAATCCCATCGACTCTTTTTTCTTCGTTTTCCCTCTGAGGGAGCATCATTAGTAGAAGTATCACTGCTCTTGGGAGTTGAGGGAGCATCATCAGTGGCAGCCACAAAGTTAGACCTGAATTGTGCCTAGTAAAAACAAAACAAAAACTATTTCACAAGGACAGAAATTTTTAAGTTTAGTTTTTTTTTTTTTTTTTAAGAAGTTTATAATCACAAACCTGGATTAAATTACATTTCTATATCCTACAAAAACTGCATATTTGAGTCAAAAAGGGAGAGAAACTCTTTATATTTGCAGAAAATAATATATTAAGTACATTCATACAAGTCGTAAATTATCGAAAAATACTGAGAAATTAAAAGAAAATTCACTTTACTACCAATTCCAATAAATATTTTACTGCAACATTTTAATAGTAAGCATCAATAAATGAAAAGAAACTTACAGCAAAAGCTGATTTCATGGCAGCCAAGCGATCACTTTGGGGTCCAGTGGATGGGGATGGTTTATAGTTGGTAAAACTGGATTCCTGAACAGTTGAACTCTGTAAACAAGTGTCACACATTAAAACAAAAAAAAATAATATTACAAGTTATACAAAGTTAGTTGTTTAACATGAAATTACTGACATATTTTAAAAATGAGAAAAATGTACTTATTCAACAAAAATCATTCCTTCCTAAGGTGCCAAGTGTGATGCATGCTGGGTGATCATGTCTCTTTGATTCATGATTGATTTGGCAAAATTCTTGCAGTAGACTGCCATTACTTTCTGCAGCAGACAAGTTGCAAACCAAGATATAGGATACAGTTTATATATTATATCTGTTATTTAACCCATAGAGTGGGGGAGAAGACATAGCTTCATGACTTTCCCCAAGTGTATTTGCATGTAAGTGAATGCAACAAATGTTAAGCTCATTTTATGGTTTCTAATTATTTTTAATTTGTTGTCTTTCCTTTTTGCCAATGTTTAATTACCATATTTGACAATGTCAAAGACACATTCTTTTTCTTGAAATAAGTTTAAAAGATTTGCCATGTGTCCTTGAGGATGAAGGTTAGGATTTTCGTAGGCATATGCTAACCCCAGAGGAAAGTTATCTATGCCAGATGGTAAACTGAATTCCTGTATGTGGTCACTTAATTAAATTCATAAATTATAAACAAAGTATCATTAAAATTATGTATATGTACAGAATGTTCCTGTGGGAACTAAGGTAGGGGAGCTAACAGATTAGTAGTATCAAGGAAGTGAAACAGATTGATCCATCCAAACACAAATACACACTCAAAATATTAAAGCAACATGCAGTGTTATAAAGTGCTTTAAAAGAAAACATAACAAGAAAAACAAAATAAAAGATTGCTTAAGTGAATTTATTTATAGAAGAGAAAATTCTAAATCAAATTTACCAAATACTTTTTTCTAAAACTTATTGAATCTCTTTAATTTTATTTAAAAAAAAAAATTTTTTCTGAAAAGTTGTACGAGATATCAAAATAACAATTTTGTTTCTTTGGTAATATTTTTAAAGAATTTATATAAAGTAAAGTTTTTTTTTTTTTTATTGTTTTACATTTAAGTAAAGCTTTATTTTATTTTTAATTTCCATATATTCCACCATATGGGTAAAATTTTAAAAAGATAGATGCAGATAAAATTTTTCCATCTGGACCATCAGCCAATATTTCAAATGAATGGGAAAACACAGCTGGGGAGAACAATGAATTGTGAAACTGGAGTATTGTGTTTGATGCAGCTCTACTGTGGGTACATATCCCACTCAGTATATTATATGTCTAAGAGAGAGTAAACTTACATGTCTGTACTGTAAGGGTAAAATGATAAAATCCAGTTCACAAGTGGTCAAGATGATCTACATGTTAAACCACCCACAAAACATTTTGGTAAGGTAGGGAAAGTGTTGAAACTTTATTTTCATGTTTATTCTTTTTTCTAAAAAATTTACACTTTAAATTTAGGAATGTACTTGATGAATAACATTATTCAGACTGTTAACCTCATCTTCATTGCCATATTCACAAAGTTTTGGCTGTTATACAATATTGAACTCACAACTCTTTGGATTTAGTCACTGGATCTAACCAATGTCTTTATCCACTGGGCCATGCATCATCTGTGACATCTGTGTACAAATTTCTGGGACTTATAAAACTAATGTCTCACCAACCGTTTTTACCAGTGCTCATATTGCAATTTTGTGTTGTTATTCATTGCTTTTCTCTAGCATTCCTTATTACTGGTTCCTATATTGTATTCATTTCTATGCTTGGTCAGCTCAGCAAACATAGTAGTTTCTTTGAGTTTTCTCACAGTTTAATCTTATTTCCAGCTTCAAATTATTATCAAGCATTCTAATGCATTAAAACATTGAACCAGGATTACCACCCTGTTATATTCTGCATGTAGTAAAATGTTTGCCCAGGATTACCACCATGATATATACCTCATGTTTGAAAACATTGAACCAAGATTACCACTCCTGTTATATCCATCATGCATTAAAACATTGAATCACCCTGTTATATCCCACATGTAGTAAAATGATCACCCAGGATTACCACCCTGTTATATCCCGCATCCATTAAAACATTGAACTAAGATTACCACCTAGTTATATCCATGAAGTAAAACATTGAACCAGGATTACCACCATTATATTCCTCGTGCAGTAAAATGTTGAGCCAGGGTTATCACTATTATAGACCTAGTGACACTCATTAGGTATATTATTTTAAATTATTATACAAAATCTATTTTTACTTTTTATCACAGATGCCTGCAAGATGCAAAAAACAAATCAATGTCATACTGTTGAATTTATTCAGCACAAACCTCAATTTTCTGATTTTTTTGTTTCTCACTCAATGCTTCCAAATTATTTTTAACAGGTTTTGGGATCATTTTCAAAAATAGCATGCAACTTATTTACTGATGTTTGTTTTTATTTGCTAATCTTTACTTTGAAACTAAATTCATTCATGAATAACATTGCTAACAAATTTAGAATTTATATTCCTCACAACTTCAGCTACATTTACATTAGTGAACCAGAGTATATAACATTTCAGCATTACCAAAGCCAAGGATTGTGCCAGAGAACCAAATGTGTTCAAACCAATACTTTAATCCACTAACCATTGTCCGGTTCCCACTCCTCCCTGGTCTTTTGAACAGGAGTAGAGGTTTATATCTTGTTCCCCTGTTTAGGGCTGAGTTTCTAGTTCTTTCTCAAGACTACTTCAACTCTATACTTCTAATGTCCCTGCCTAAACTTTGAAATTTTCTCATTACTTCACTGCTTGCCCTTTCTTACACTAATACTATTCCACACAGTAACCCTCTACCTTGAGTGGCTCTCGGGCCTTGTTTTGGGTGAACATTAGTGTAAAAAAAAAAAAAAATTAATTATGTGAGACAATGGTCAAATGTGAACAAAATGTGTGGGGAAATATTTTTGGTGGTGGTCAAAATAGCAATTTATCCTTTTGGCTGATCTCATTTAATTAACTGTATTTTAAAAATGTTTTTACTTTTATAGAATGTATTTTGATAAATAAAAGATCATTTTTTTTACCTAGTGAAACATGCAAGGAAGACCATTTCTTATTATCAAGAATTATAAATTTAGTAGTTATTAAGGCTAATTTGCCTTAAACTGGGACAATTAATGACCTGGCACATTATTTAAGAAAGAAATGTCTCCAAAATCAAGGAAAAGGAAAGAACTTTATAAAAAGGAACATTTTACAAGTTATCTTTTTTTATCTTAAAAAAAAAAAAAAAAAAAAAAAAAAAAAAAAAAAAAGAAGCTTGACACCAAAAGTTTATTTTTATTATTTATGCATCCTGTTTGAGATAAAGCATTAAATTTTTTTTGTACTTCAGTAATTATTCAGGACTTTCCTAATTTTGTTGTTTAAATTTGCTTGGTTTCTGAAAGCTTTCTTGATACCAAAAAAAAAAAAAAAAAAAAAAAAAAAAAAAAAAAAAAAAAAAGAAGCAAAATTTAACCTTCATACCTGCAAGAAAATAGGATTTCAAAAGGACTTTTTTCTGTTCACACTGCTATTACTGTATACTGCTAAAACTTCCTCAGCAATTTTTATTTACAAGATTATAAAAATATATGAAACAAGTAGAATGTGATATTTATTATTTACCATTTTATCATGAAATAAATTTGAAAAAAAATTCTTTTTATTTAAAACTTTATAAAAATCTACAAAATATGTGAACCAATTACAGTATAATTTTTCTTATTTACCATTTCACAAATAAATAACTATGAAAACAAGTTTTTTTATTCATAATTTTATAAAAATGTCTATGAACTATTGAACATGAAAATTTAAATTAACATGGATTTTTTGTTTTAATTTTTTTTTGTTTAAATTTTTATTTATATTTGTGATCTAGGATCAAGAATGCCTAATCAATAGAAATTCAAGCCCTAAAACTGCAACAATTATAAGCTACCCACTTTCTTACTCATTTTTAAAAACACAATTTTAAAAAAAAACTTTTTAATGTTGCTAATTTTTCTAAAAATGCCTAGAAAATCTGCCAATAAATTATTTATTGGCAATCAAATACTGATTGATGAAGAAATCTTAAATGAACAGTGAACACTAAGCACATTGCCTAAAGCAATTGCTAGAGCTGGCAAATTGCATTCTTTGGAATTGTTGGTAAAACATTGGAAAATTGCCAATTGATTCAAACTTTATTTTATAAAGTAAATAAAGATTTAATTATAGTTAGTTCAGATATTTTTATAACTTAGTAAATTTTCATAAATAAAAAATGTTCATATTTATTTCTTTATAAATTGGTAAATGATAAACATTGCATTAGTTGGTTTGCATTTTTAGAATGTTATAAATATAAAATTATTGTTGTAAATAAACAATTTAATAAATAATGTTTAATGATTTTATTGTAAATTCTCAAAAACAAAGAAAATGTATGAATTTACTTTCATAATATGTTTAGATTTTATCACAATTCTAATCATCACTTTTTAAAACAAACATTACCAAGGAAGTGAAAGTAGTATAAAAGAATAGCCATGTCTAGGGAAAACCCATCCTTTAGACACTGTTTCTTTTTGTGGGCACGAATGTTAAAACTTGCATAAAAAAAAATATACATAATCATGTTTGATTAAAACTTGATAATGGAGTCCAGATAACTTTAAGAAAGATAGACATAAAAGCAAGTATTAACTGAGAATGTCACAAGTTACTTTGGTTGGTTTTTACATGTTCAACTTTGTTGGCTTATTTAATATTGAATTTTGTATGGGGAACCTGGTGAGGATCAAAGTCAACTATATTAGCCTCACAAACCATTACCTCATGACAACACACCCAAAACTTCATAAGAGTCTTTACTAGTTTTTTTTCTAAAAAGATGTGTGAAAAGTATGCAGACTTTTTTTTTTTTACTCCTAAAATAAAAACTCAATTTAGGAATAAAAAGAACTACTTACATTTTCTGCTCCAAGTCCTGGGCGTTCTCTGTAGCCTAAACTCCTGCCCATTGTATTAACTTTCTTGCCTTTACCTTGCTTAAAACGACTCTTTCGAAACCAAGCATTCTGCAAGAAAATTTGAGATATGAATGCTGCTTTTTTTGCTTTTTTAAGAGGTTTAAAACTATGTTAGGCATTATTTTTGCATAAACAAAATAAAATAAAAATGTTATAACCTAATAGTGACAGTGTTTAAATATATAAAAATGAAACTAGAAAGTTAATGCTTGTGAAAATATATAATCATGGATGACAATTTTAACCTTCAGGGATAAAGAAAGAGCAGAATATCTTCAGAAGCAAAAAGCAAGAAGGAAAGTATGCAATATTTTTACCTGCATTGCAAGATCTAATAGACTCTGGGGCACATGTTGGTTGGCTCCCTCAAGGTTACGGACTAAGTGGCCAGCAAAATCTTTATCCTTTTCATTGACTAGTGTATAAGCATAACCTTTCTCACCTGAAATAAGGATATTTTCAGACAAATTACATCAATGATGAAATCAAGTAATAAAACCAATAAATAGAAATGACAGTGCAGCTGTCACTGTTGAGGCTGAGAAAGTAACATTTTGGAGAAGTTTTTTTCTATGTAAACTTATAAAAACATGTAAAATGGGATAGTTTTCTAGTTCATCTGAATGTTTTACAGTTGTCAAATTAGGATTGAAATATACCCTTTATAGAAATAAACAATTGTTGAGATACAATCCAAATGAATATACTTTCTTGCTATAAAAGTGATCTTATATTTTGATCACAGACAAAAAGCTAGGGAAAATGATTTTCTACTACACTATTAGAAGGACAACAAAACATTTCTTTTATTATATTTGTCTATTCTGTCCTCACTCCTAAACCCTTTACCTAATAATAGACTGACTAACTTTTTTTTAAGAATTCTGGTAATATTTCTAAGAATTGTGCACCTCTGTAAAATCCAAGCTAACTAAAGTCATGAACAAATTGAAAGATGACTTTTCACATGCTTACAATGTTGAAAAAACTGACCTTACTGAAGAACCATGCACTTCAAGTATTGATTGTTCAAAAGCTAATGAACTGGATCAATTGCATACAGCTATGATCAAGAAGTTAAAGACTGCATTATTATCCTGAAAAGGTACAAATCTTGACTTGTACTTGATTCATGGTCTCATTCATTCTGTGCTAACTACTTCAATGTTTTTGACTATCTCATTTGTACAGCTACAGATTTGAAGAAGAGAAAAGGTATACTAGCAGTCCCAAATCTAAAGACTATATTAAATATTAGAAACAAACAGTACAAACAAAAACGACCGGTTTTGTGCAGCTTAAAATAGATATATGCAGCTTTTAAAGAAAGACATCCTGATGTGAAGATAGGATTCTCAAAGTCCTGCTCTATGTGCCTAAAATGGTGTGTCATTTTTGGTACTCATTCAGTTTATGTTTGTATACACCATCAGAATGCAGTTCTTTTGGTGGATACAATCAACTGGGACATAACATACAAAGATTTGATCAGTAAGATGGTATGCGACCCATCAAACAGAATGTGCATGAGGCATCACTGTGAAAAGTGTCCTGGATCTAATGCACTACTGGAATTCGTGGATGGGGAGCTTTAGGAATTTGAGCCTGATGCCGAATTCCAATCAATTGACCGCTCCACTTTGATAATACTAATGACGACGTGCAAGGAATGCAAACAGATTCTAGTTGAGGCAAAATGTCAGAATAAATACCTAAAACAGAAGAAAGAAAATTAGGCAAGAAATGAAGCCATTATTCTAGGTGATTTTTTTGTCAAGAGATATGTTGCCAAAAAAGGTTACAGATGCCATTAACGGAACAAATCCTTGATTATAAGACATTTCTAGATGTTTGTGGGATAGATCTTCTAGGATTCAAGTTTCTGAAAATAATTAAAAATTGGTAAATGAAGGAATAAGATTTGGTCCTAACACCAATGTTATTTGATTATTAAAGATATTTACATAATTTTACAATAATTTTTATCTCCCATAAATTATATACATACTTTTAATATCTCTTACATGTTTACAATAATGAAAGAATTATTCAAATTGAAGAAATGTTCTTACTTCATGCTTTAGAGTTTAAAAATTAATAAAATAAAGAAAATTTTTCATAATATTCACATTTGCATGATTCTCTATTTAAAAAAAAAAAAAAAGAAAAGATTTTTATTATGCCAATGGTGCTGATTTTATATTTCAATACTGTATTTTAAACTTCTGTAAATACTTTTGTAGACAAACATGTTTGCTTTATCTGGCCTTGTTTTTTTTGTATATTATTATGATTTTGTTACTCTCCCATTTTCAACTCCATAATGAAATGTGGTGATTATATTGATCTTTGTAAATTGACAGAATTTTGCAGGCAATGATCAATACAAGAGAAATGTATTGTTTCTATATTACTTTAAATATATCCAACTCCCAACCACCAACATAATCTTGGTCATTTCTATTCTGACATTTATTTTGCTCCTTATAGTCCCTATTTAATGGCTGAACGGAAACACTTCAAACATAAAAGTACAGAATTTTAACTAATGTTGTAGCTTCTATTTTGAGCAAACTAAGAAATAACCAAACTATCTTTTTGGTACAAATAATATTCAGCATATGTAAAATAATAAGAAAAAGAAACTTTTTGTCATACATGCACTGCCACATGGGGATTTTCTCCTCTATTGATCTTGCCTTGAAAAAAAAAAAAAAATCAGAAATCATTAATAACTTAAAAATGATTAATTTTGAATTTTTTTTAATATCATTTTTTGATTCCTTGGGCTAAAAAAGCTTTCCTGGACCAATTTTTAGGAGTTGGGAGCTCTAGAATTAATTTTAGAGATAAAAATAGATTACAAAAGTTTGTAATTTTTTGATGCAACCCCCAAAACTGGAGAAAACTAAAAATTGATGTAAATTGGACAATTTTTGGAATTAGATGCTCAGATTTAGGGATTGTCTTACTTTAACATAGTCAACACATGGACAAAATTTCAGAAAAATTGAAGAGGTAAAGGTGACATGCCCTGGATGGCTTGATATGTGATCTAATATCTAATTGTTTTTATGATAAAAGAAGTTTTTGTTAAAAGTTGAAAAAAATAAAAAAATAAAAAAAATAAATAAATAAATAAATAAAAAATAAATAGCATTTCATCTGAATGATAAATATGTGAAGAAAATATGTGAATCTACCAACACTGGCAACTTATAAAGAAGTATATATTTTATATAATTGGACAGCCATTGGTGAGAGTAGAAGTGTTGAATACTGACAATAGAATGACCTTTACATTGTGATGGCAACATTTTAAAAGCTCATAGATTTCCCATGTGTGTCTGGGGTGGGGGTGGGGGGTAACCTGAGGTCAATTTAAGTATACTTACAGGAATTGTGTATATTTCAGAGGTGTATACTGAACATTTGCTTATGGAATTGGGCTCTGCAAATTTACATGGAATTGAATAATAATGAATATGTTTTAAGCTTCATGGATGCAAGGAAAATATGTATATTCCTTCCATTAATCCCTTCTCTAAACAATTATACAGTCTGGGTCAGTCTTTAAAGTTATATAGTAAGTGACTACAGAAATATTAGCTTCTTCATTTGATAAATTAAAAAGTTATACAAATTTATTTTCTTGTAATTGCTTCATATAAAATAAATTTACTGAATATTAAAATCTCAAAATAATAATATTGAAATAGTTTCAATAAGTGTTTGAGTGTCAGTGAGAAACAGAACAAGTATCAACCTCTTCTGTCTTCACACCACTCTCCTTCATCATTTTCACATCATAACTGTTTGCACTTTTAAATTAATCTATCTTCAAATTCATTAATAATATTAGTTACAGCCATTTATCAGTCATTTACACAACCTTCTCCAAATTTACAGAAAAAAAAAATCAAGTAAAGAATTTTAGCAAGCATCACCTGAAGGATGGATTGTTTTTTTTAAAAGAAAAACTATTTACCAGCACGGCCTGTCCGACCAATACGATGTGTATGCGTGTCAATATCTCTGGCCACATCATAGTTGATAACTGTTTTAATTGAGGGTATGTCCAAACCACGAGCTGAAAACAAAACAAAATGTATTTTTTTTAAAATTTATTTTTGTATTTTGTTAACTTTCAAATACATTTTTCTAATGAAGTGAAAGACTGGAAATGAAATTGTTATTCATCAAAATCTTTTGTACTTATTTTCACCAGTGTGTGTGTGTGTGTGTATATATATATATATATATATATATATATATATATATATACTACAAATAGATAAAATTCAAAAATACCCCATCTGAATGATGGACATTTCGCTTTGCAAGAGCTTGTCAACACTAAAATGTTAGATAAAATAAAATAAATATGAAACCTAACTTTTTTTAAAAAATTTATATAGGAGACAGGAAGGAAAAAAGGGGAGAAAAAGAAAAGACTACAAATAAGGGAAAAGGGATATAAAGGGAGAAAAGAGAAAGAGAAAAAGAACAAAGTAGAGTTGGGTAGAGAGGGAATAGGAGGAATAAAGATTTGTCTAGAGTTTTGACGAGATGAAAGTTTAAAGATGGTTAGAAATTTAAAATTAACCTTGACCTATACTTCAAATGTTAACACTTGTTCAAATAGGAAAAATTACAATCTTTAAAATAAAGAGAAGGTTTTAAGATTGTGTAAAAATGTTGAAAAATGCTATTATAAACTAAGCTAAATAAAAAATTATCAGTATATAAAAAAATTAAACTACAAACATCATCATCATGTCCACAAACAGAACCCAGCTTAACCAAAGAGTCAGACCAAGAGGAGTGTATGTGTGCATCTACATGTGTGTGAGGAAGTATAAGTTTCTCTGACGGCAATGGCTCTTGATGCTTTTCAGATCTATATCTGAAAAGCATCAAGAACACCCCTACCCGATCCTTGTTGAAAGAAACATTGCTATATATAAAAGCTACAGTCTCGACACTGAAATAGAATTACAACTGTGTATGTATGTATGTATGTATGTCCAAACGTATGAATAGGTATCTGCACCTAGCCTCGTATTGTTTTTATAGATGTGTTTGTGTGAATCAAAATTCATAAATCTGTATGTATGTGTGTGTGTCTATGCATATGAGAGTGTCTCCCCAAACAAACACAGAAATAGATCCCTCCTCCCACAACCAAACATACTCAAACAAGCATAAATAAATCCAATTTAAAAAAAACAAAAAACGCCAGTTTGTCTGATGATCACAAAAGTGTGAAACCCAGGGTCACAAACTCTCTCTCTCTCTCTATATATATATATATATATATATATATATATATGAGAGAGAGAGAGATGGATACATACATGTCCTCTGAATAATAGATGTTGTATAAAATCTGTAGTTTACCAATGCAAGATCTCATCTATTGAGGATCCTAATGATGTTAGAGTCTATGTAGGATGTACAAAGAATGAATTTAAATTAAGATGGAACCAACATCAAAGTTCCTTCAATAATACTAAATACCACAACCAGACATCAATATCTAAATATTTCTGGCATGTAAAAGAAACCATTAAAACACCAACAGTAAAATGGAAATTAAAAAAAAAAAAAAAAAAAGTTGTAGATCTTCAAATGAACCATGTTCTTTATGCATACATGAAAAGTTAAATATTATTAAGTTTCTGAAAAATTAAAATTTATTAAATCAAAGAAATGAAATAGTGAGATTTTGTAGACATTGCCAAATTTTTTCCTTAAGTAATAGCTAAATTTTTAAAAAGTGAAACTACCATATTTATATTTGATCATAAATAAAAAAATAGCTTATGAATACATAATTAGATTCTAATATATTAATTCTAATATTACTATATAAGTACTCAAATTAAATATAATATTTGAAGTCGGTACAAATAAAAATATTAAAAATGTGACTAAATAAATATTTGAATGCCCCTTTTGAAAAAAATCGTAACTGAAATTTATAAGAATAAAAATTAAAAAAGAATTAAAAATAAAAATGCTAAATGTATTGCTACTGAAACCCAGATGAGGTGTTGGACTATAGACACTAACACAAATTTCTACTTGAAAAAGGAAGTTTGTATCAATAGACAGATATCCCAGCCTCCACCTTGACTTGACAGCTACAATACATTAGATACATGAGTTTTCTAAATAAGTTAAAATAAAAAAGATGGAATTTTCCTTAACCCTAACATCTCAGAATATCCAATTTGTCTGGACTTATAAATTAAGTGAATCAATTTCTAAAAAGTTATTCTTAGCTTAGCTTGATAATGGAACGGAGCTTTGTATTTTAAGTTTAATTTGTATGATAGAATTTAAATTGAAGAAAAAACAAAAACAATTAATTACAGTTGGTCTGTTTGGCAATTTATGTTTCGGTATTGGTTTCTGGTTCTTTTTCCTTGATACCATGGTTTTCGATTCAGTTCTTAATTTAGTATTTTCCTTTGAAAGAAAGCCATTCTTTTTCTTGTGCAATGATAGCATTTCCAGTTGATATCTGGTTTTGTTTGAAATTGATAAATTGGCAACTTATTCTGTTCAACTCACAATATCTTGTGTACTTATGATCCAATCTTAAAAATATTCATATGGCTGGGAAGAAAGTAAAATAATCTTTCAAAATATGTAATTTGTATGTGCTTTTTTCATTGAATTATTTTATTTTATAGAAAACAGTATTTTGCTTCAACAAGCCAAAAATGTGAAATATGATTATATATATATATATATATATATATATATATATATATATATATATATATATATAAAATATACACACACAAAATTTTATAGGTTACTTTGTTTCACAAAATCTTCATCAATATTCTTGAAATTGTACACTCAATTAGAAGATACCTTAAACTACAACCAGGAAGATGTTCATTTCTTTTCTGACCTAAGAAAGCAAATTCCTTTAAAAATTATAAGCAAAAAAAAAAAAAAAGCAAGTGATAGAAATAAATGTGTGGTAAAAAAAAAAGAACTTTCAAATTATTGAAACTACTGTCTGATACTGACTAAAAAAGAATAATTTCTCCTTTTACATATGAGAAATGGAAATGTGTATATATATATATATATATATATATATATATATACACGAGAAATGGAGATATATATATATATATATATGTGTGTGTGTGTGTGTGTGTGAAATGAATATATGAGTTTTGGGTAAGCCATAGAGACGAGGACGAATGGAGCCCAAGGGTCTAATCAAATTTGAAATATCAGTGGGCAATTTTCCACTTTTTACCCACTTAACCAGATGTTTTTGGAAATTGGCCTCAATAGATAATGTAGAATCAAATTTATCTATTGGGCTTAACCAGACAAATTTAGAGGAATCCCCAAGAATTGTCATCATCTTGTTAACAATCATGATAGTCAAGGATGACGATGCCAGAAAATTTGTCAGGTTTTGTAATTACCAAAGCTTTATTATTACGAGGTGTTTTAATTACTCGAAATTGCTCCTCGTTCCACTTCAATACATTATGTGAAACAGGAGTACTTGTGTGACAATGTGCTATATTATTCAACTTTGCCAACACGGTGTGGCTAAATGGTTCTCCACTATACTGCAACTGGTTTTGCTGAGACTATTGATATATGTGCTGATGCCCTATATCATGGTCAATTGTCAGCGCCTGTTATTCCAGAAGTCATGTTTGTTGAACTGATGAAATTTGCCATGATGTCAGTTGAGTTCAGTTTCGATGGCATCATGTACAGGCAGATTGATGGTGTTTCAATGGGTTCCCCTTTGGGGCCCATCTTAGCAAATATCTTTGTTGGGTTCTAGAAAGAGAGTGTACTACTAAAATCTGATAAACCTGACGTTTATTTCCGTTACATTGATGACACTTTTGGTCTCTTCAATAACATGATTAAAGCGGACCAATTTCTTGCGTCCATTAACAATATACATCCGGCCTTGAAATTTACACAAGAAAAAGAGGTTGATTCATCTCTTCCCTTTCTCGATGTACTCGTCAGCAGATCTACGTCAGGTTTTATTACTTCTGTGTACTGCAAACCAACGTTTACTGGTTTGTATATCCGTTGGGATTCTTTTGTCCCAGGAAATGCAAAATTAATTTAATTAAGACCCTTACGCATAGGGCTCTCATGATCTGTTTGGACATCAAGTTGGATGATAAACTCAGATTTATTACTTCTACTCTCTGCAACAATGCCTACCCATTGAACATTGTTCAAGCAATTATTAAGAACAAAATTGCTGAATTTAACAAAGTGAAACCCGCTATAGTAAAAAGATGTCCTGTGTATCTATGCCTTCCTTGGCTAGGTAGTATCAGCAATAGGTTTGTTAAGCTACTGCAGTTCAACATTGTTACTTTGCCGCTAACACTCGTGTTGTTTTCTCTGCCAGGCCCCCGTCTATACGTAAGGATGTTCTCCCACCACACCATAATAGTTCACTAATTTATTCCTTTAAATGTAGTTGCAGTTCGCACTACATAAGGAGAACGACGCAAAGACTAGAAACACATAAAACAACACATTCCAGCGAAAATCCAAAACCAGAAGAACACTCCCTCGGACATTCTGACCAATACGTATGGGTCTTCCATTGCAGATCACCTCATGAACAGCCATAATTGTGCTGTTAGTTTTAGTGTCGACTCTTTTACCATCCTTAGCAAGTCCCACTCAAATTACCACCTAAAAGTGTTGGAGGCCATCTATATTCTATCTTTAAAGCCTTCTCTTTGTAAACAGAAAGCCTACAACTAATTACCATTTAAATCCCCCCACCACCACCAATAAACTTTGTCCAGTGTTTTTTTTTTATTATATTATTAACTCTATTTACCTCTGTTGAGTGAGGTATGAAACCAGTTAGCTAGCCTGTTTTTCATTTTTACTATCATGAGTGGTAATAATAAAACTAATTTTTGTCTATTCATGGCAGTTTATATACACACACACATTATGAAGAAAAATACAGAAAAAACAAACAAAAATTTTAACATGCAATTATGCTGTATTAATGTAATGTATTACATATATATATATATATATATATATAAA